TAACATGTTTCAGCCAAATTTTGAGTAGAAGAAAATCGATATTTGAATTCTGCTTAATCCACGGAAATAAATATCATTTCTGGCTAAACACGGTCATCTACTATAATAACCTAATCGTCTGAAACATTATTATGCAATTTTGAGCAATTTGGACCCACAATGAAACAAGATTGACAAGAATATTTCTATCTTAATTGCTCTCATCAAGCAAGAGATTTTATTATTAATTTATTGAGTGGGCAACTAAGTCATTGCTGTTTTTGTTGAAAGATTCACTCTATACTTCTTTTGTTTTGTTAACGTGGCCAGAGCATCTAACCTATATTTTTTTCTTACTGGATGGGCTTATAGGTTAATTAGTAAAAAATTTTTTTGTTTAGTTCTTTAGTTTTGTTTTTACCCCAATTTAAAAATGAAAGAACAGGACGTGCACTTCCGACACATTTTATCGTATTACTTCCGAAAAGGCAAGAACGCATCGCAAGCACAAAAGAAGTTATGTGCCGTATATGGAGATGAAGCCGTGAGGAAGAAAGGCAGTGTCGAAATTGGTCTGAAAGATTTCGTTCCGGTGATTTCTCACTGAAAAATTCACAACGATCTGGCCGCCCAGTCGAAGTGGATGAAACCCATATCAAGGCCATTATCGATTCAAATCGTCACAGCACAACACGAGATATTGCAGAGAAGCTCAATGTGTCGCATACATGCATTGAAAATAAATTGACATAACCCTTGGTTATGTCAAGAAACTTGATTTATGGATCCCTCACCAGTTAAAGGAAATTCATTTGACGCAACGGATTAGCATCTGTGATTCGCCGCTACTGAAACGCAATGAGAATGATCCATTTCTGAAGAACCTAGTTACTGGCAACGAAAAGTGGATAGTTTATAACAATGTTACTTGCAAGAGATCATGAGTGAAGCAAGATCAACCAGCCCAAACAGTATGAAAAGCAGAGATTCACCAAAAAAAGATTATGCTGTCAGTCTGGTGAGATCACAAAGGAATTTTGTATTTTTAACTCATGCCGCAGAACCAAACGATAAAGTCAAATGTGTATGTTGAAGAACTCGAAAAACTGAAGGATGCAGTTGGTGATAAGCGGCCGGCATTATCAAATCGGAAGGGTGTTGTTTTCCATCATGATAACGCAATGCCTCACACATCTTTGGTTACTCGGCAAAAATTATTGGAACTGTGTTGGGATGTTTTGTCACACCCACCATATAGCCCTGACCTTGCGCCTTCGGATTTTCATTTGTTTCGTTCCATGCAAAACTCTTTAAATGGTAAAATTTTTAATAACACGGATGATGTTGGATCGCACCTTATTCAGTTTTTAATAGCAAAGAACAGACATTTTACGAAGTCAGTTTTTTTAATAGCAAAGACCAGACATTTTACGAACACTCTGCAATTTTACGAACGGGGAATTTTTACTCTGCCAGAAGGATGGTCGAACGGAAAATATTTACTCTGCCAGAAGGATGGAAAAAGTCGAACGGGGAAGTTTTACTCTGCCAGAACGATGGGAAAAGGTCGATCACAAGAACGGCTATTATTGAATAAAGTTGTATTTTAAACAAAAATTCCGAATTCGCCTTCTTATTTGAAATATTTAAACAAAAATTCCGAATTTGCCTTCTTATTTGAAATCGGCAATGCCTTAGTTGCCAACCTAATACATATTCATACGCAAGCAAAAGTACTTTCTATTTTTGTAGCTATTATGAAATTTAGCACCTTTTGTCATATAATATTTCATAGTACTTTGCCACTTTAAAAAGTAAAGTGAAGTTAAGGAAACAATTGTTTTTAAGTTGATTGAAAACAAAGAACATATGCGGTTTCTTGATTTTTAAGTATCATTTTGCAGTTAACATGCGGATGTTTCATAATTATTGACAAGCATTTTAAGTTGGCTTGATAGTTGACATAAGAAGCAACTTTCCATAAATGGAATAAAGAGAACGCTAATTTTTCATCATCATTGCTGAAATGACTGCAAGATAATTAATAATGCTTTTGATCAAGAACTTTCAGTTCGTCAGATTCATATTAGGTTTTAAGGGCCTAATACAAATTGATTTGACGGCAACAGATATTATAGGCAAACGTCCGCATTTTATTCATTTGAATTTTCCCTACCTCTAAAAAATAAAATTCCTGGTTAAACATTTAAAAGTATCTAAAAAAATAATCATATGGGACAGCATCTCTGCATTATACAGGAAATGAAAAAATATTAAATTCGACAGAAACATACAACCCATTTTACTATTCGAAATTGAGAACTTACAAATGATCTATGACAGATGATATAAATATTCGTAGTCATTTAAATATGAGTTGATATCTATTTAGCGCATGCTAATACGAAGTATTACTTAAATTAAAAGAGTAATATTTTAGTGCGAAGAAGTGTTAATGAAATGCACAATTTCGAAGCATTTAAAGAAGAAAATGGTAGTTAATATAAGTTGAAAAGATTTCTTATTCCAAATTGTGATTAAACTCAAAATAAAGAATAAATTTTTGTAACATTTTAGCGTTCAAGTTGCCAGCTGTGATGGTTTGTATTTATAAACATATGACAAACAATTATAACATGGAGTGATCACTGATTCAGACTTTGTAACTATTACAATGATATTTAGATTGGTTTATTTGCAATTTTGAATATTAAGTCAACTTTGTTGACAATACTGATTTTAATGCAATCCATATATAAGAGTGTGCGGTAGACTTACCTCCACGTGGTGCACCCTGGGCAACGTGTTCTCATACGCAAAAAAGTCTTTAAACCGGCAGTCAATTTCTGACTTCTAACTGTAAACCGGCAGTCAATTTCTGACTTCTAACTGCCATGATCCCACTGTATATCTTATTCGATCACTTCCACCATACTTATCCTAACTTGTCTCTGCCTTTGTGTCTGTCTGTCTCTTTAACATCTTTGAATCTCCCTTCTGTCCTCCCTCTCCACTTTTTCTCATTTTGACGTTCCCTCTTCCCACTGGGGAACCCGAAGTCAGCTATAGGGCAAATGATAAGTGTCATAAAGCACGCCATTTGAAATAAATAAATATATATATATTCACTTACAATTAACCTCGGTTTTTAATTTAGCTAGCATAACAGTGGACTTTAACATCTTGAAAAAAGCCATTTCAGTGAATCCATATAAAGCGACTAAATTTTGGGTAGAAGAAAAATGTTAAAAAGTATTTTAGCTTAAACACAGAAGCACGTTTCGTTTACAAATGAGGCTAATTTCATTGGACGTTTCAAACAACATTGAAAACTCAACATCACGATTCTTAATATCTGAAATATATCTTTGTAATTTAGAGCAAGTTTGAGACACAATGAAATAAGATTGAAGGGAACACTTCTAGCTTAGTTGTTGTCATCAGGCAACAGGCTTCCTTATTGATTTGCAACGCATCTAATGAAGTGAATCTATACCTCCGACCACTTTCTACTTTCGTAACTACTAGTTGTTTTCACTTAACTTAAGACCTTTGCTTAATGGTATCTTTTGATTGAATGCGCTTGATATTCCTACGTCATTAATGAGCATACGTGGCAATGAATTAATTTTTATTCTCGTTCTTTCTAAGACTGACAGACGTTCTCGTTTACGGCAGCATCTTCAGTTTACGTTTGAAATTTACTGCTCAACCGTAAAATCCGCCAATCAATTGAAGGCCATCAAACTTTGTTTATTTTCATATTCATTAATTTTAAGCAATTAAATAGATAATAACCTGATTGTAAACCGAACTTAAAAATAAAAGTAATGATTAAAATGAATTCAATACATCTGTTTATGAAAACTGGAGTCTTCCATTATATTTTGCCAGATTTCGAATTGTGATACTCCGTGTATCATATTTTTAATCCACGCACTTATTTTATTGAAACTGCTTGAATTAGTAAGTCGTTCTTTAACCCATTGGGGTCAAATAGATGCTAATTAAAAATCAAGATTATTTTATTTCTTTCTTGAAGTGAGGCAACACGATGGAGTTAATTGCAAATAAAGCCCCTCGTTTACAGGTCTAATAGCTTCAAGGCGATCGTGATTTTGAGATTTCCAAATGTGAGCTTGGATTTGGCAGGTTTAACAGAACATGGCATGTTGACGGTTTATAGGCAATTTATTTCTTCAGCTTAGAACCTAGACGCAAACTACATTTATAATCATTTTGATGTTACCTGTCAACAACTGTCATTGTTCGTGTTATGTTGATCTTGATAGCTATAATTGACCTTTTAGTATAATCTATTGAATAATTTTTGATTCAATATTCATAACTTCCGTCTTTCTATTACCAAGGTTTAGAGATGATCTGAGGTCAAACGAAACATTTCATTTCATGAAGCTCGTTTCGGTTCACTATAACCTATCATCCCCATCGATAATACAAAAGCAAAGTATTTAACCTATGGAAGACATCCCTGAGTTAAGGCTTAGTCCCAAATGAAGAAAAACTGTAAGTATACATTTTGCATTTTAACCCTAAACAGCCTTTAACCTGAAGAATTATTTTAAAGTAAATAGCGTAGAAAATGAGATAAAATTTCCGAAAGTAAAATAGTGAAATTTGTTTAGTCACTTTCGAAAACTTTATGCAAAAAACTGCAGATTGCATTTTAGAGCATCTTACTCAAAAACGATGTTTTTAAAAAAATTGGGAAATTTCTAAATGACGTTTTCTATTTTAAAATTGTTATTTTCCTTACCCACGAGATAAACACTATGAAATGTTACGTAGACTCTTCATTCCTTCACTCACGGAAACCATATCGACATAAGTTTTGTTGGTTTAGTGAACTGTAAACTTGAATCAAGTTTAAATTTAATGAATTAATTCTACATCTCACTAAATTTGGGGCAAAATTTCTTCAAGAAACTATTCCATCACTAACTAGGCTCGATTTGCAAGCCTTTTTTATTCCAAAAACATAAGTTGTGCAAATTTAGTAAATGTCACCGGTTTGCTTTCTTTCTGCAATTTTCAACCACAGTACACGAATCATTCACTTTAGTTTTTTTCAGTTATTTCTGGAGTGCCATGTAAAATGGAAATCTTTATTTTAATCAACTTTTAAGTTTTACTTTAGAAATGAGTGCAAAACAAGAATTTATCGTTATATGTAAAAATAAACATTGTAATATTCACTGGCTTATTGAGATAATTTGGTGTTTTTAGTGTATTCCATTGCCATTATTTTTAATATTAATTTTTGTAGTTCAAAGCATTAATATTTAACGGATCATTCATTAATAAAACATAAATTACGAAGATGCACAACGTAGTCAACTAAATTTATGACGTTTACTTAAAACAAACTTTAGGCAATGTCTAAAAACGCATGTGGGACTTCTCCATTTCCTCCTGTAGGTTACATAGAGTATATGTGGGTTGAGTGTATACTCTCAATCTGTGAAGGTGTTTTGATGCAATCTGTCCGTACGTAGTCTAAACTCAGCAACGGCTTCGATTCTTGGCCAAAGTCTAAACTCAGCAACGGCTTCGATTCTTGGCCATTCGGCTATGTGGTAGAGTGCCACTCCTAAACTCAGCAACGGCTTCGATTCTTGGCCATTCGGCTATGTGGTAGAGTGCCACTCGTCTAAACTCAGCAACGGCTCCGATTCTTGGCCAGTCGGGTATGTCGGAGAGTGCCACTGTCGATCGTTTCTCCCTTGTTCGAGCTTTAAGTTCGTTGTACCTTGAGGTCTGAAACTCTCTCTTGATTAAGGTCCCATTTAAATTTAAATAAAAGTTTAATTTATAATCTTGGTTCACCTTATATTCAATTTTAAATAAATATTTAAAATGGCTTTTTACATATGTTTTCCACTTGACATTTTATGCTTACAACTATTCAATGCCAGAAATATCTGCCTGCTTATTTGTTTAGTGCCCGTTGATGATTTACAATTTCAAATAAATATCGAAATTATTCATTAAACTCAATTTTAAAGCATTTCAAACCTTTTAAAATGTAAAAAGTTACACAAATTTAATGTCTTGCAGCAATGCAAATAAAAGCAAAAGGATTGTCCTAAAGCATTACTGTTGAACCACAAGAGAAATTCAATTCCCATAGAAGGGTAGAAGACTTTGAGAGACTATGATAAACTGAATGAAACTCAATAAACATTGGATGTTGTTTCCAGTTGTACACAAATGAATGCTAGGACTAGAAGATTGATTCAGGGAAATTGAATCTTAAAAGTTGAAAACCTTTAATTGAAAACGCCAGTTTGATATATAAATGAATTAAATCGTTATAAATCATTGTTTTTAGTTTGATTCGAACTCGACCTATTTGCAATTTAATTGGTTTAAATTAATAAATATGAAGATTAACAAAATTTAATGGTCTTTAATTGATTTCAAACAACAACCAAAGATACTGAATACACAAAATGTCCGTCAATCTTAGTGATAAAGAAAATAAAATTATTTCATTACCACGTATGCACAATTATGACGTAGGGAAATGAATTGCATTTATTTGTAAATATAACATCAAGCAACGATCTTAAAAGGGTGAAAATAACTTTTAGTTACAAATATATTTACATTCATTTCAAGTGGTAGACGTTTGGACAATTATCATTATCCCTTTAGTAGAAGGAACATAAAAATGAAAAAGAAGGTCGAGAGGGGGTCAGAATAAACACTAACAGATGTTAAAGAGACAGAAAGTCAGACACAAAGGCGGAAAAGTAGGTAAGATGAGTACTGTGTGAGTTGTCGAATATGACATACAGTCGGGCCAAGGCAGTTTGAAGCCAGATGCCAATTGCCGATGGTTAAACTTTTTGACGTATGAGAATGTGTTACCCAGGGTGCCCCACATGGAGGTAAGTCTCTATCGCGCGCCTTGTAGTTGCGAATATATAAGGTAGCTGAAGGTATATGGGTACTTAAGTAACTACGCTTTTAAATAAATCATTAGACTATTAATAAGATCTGTATCTTGATGACATCAATTAGGATAAAATGGTCTAGGCAATTTTGTTGCGGTGTGACTCAAACTTGGTCAAAATTACAGAGTGGTGTTCCAGATGTTTAAGTCAGTAAAGTAGATGACACTGCGTAGTCTGAAACAGAAAACGAAATTGGCTTCTTTGGCTGCAGTAAAATCTAATTTGGCGATTTTCTTCAGCTCTAACTTCGGCAGAAATATGTGAATCTGATTTAATTGAAACGGTCCAAGTCAGTATTGTCAGCAAGGTTTACTAAATATGGTACAATGTGGGTAATTGAAAGAAAATTCTATTCAGAAAGTATTGAATCAAACATGTCGCTCAATTCGCAATCTAATTTATACAAGTGTTCCTTTTAGTCAAAGATCTAATTAAATTCAAATATATCTTTACACATTTAGGGTAAATCTTTATGTCATTCTTCTAACATAATCAGCATGCATAAAAGGTGGAAGTTTCGTAATTAATTGACTTTACTCTCCTAAAAAGGGCTTTTGCTTTTATTGGATATTTGCGGAAATAAATATCCTTACTGTCCCTTCAATTTTTTTTGAACAACAGGTACTGAGTGAAATCCACGAAGTCCGTCTTCAACTCTGATTCAACTATGGCAAAACTAGTAATATAGCTGTTTCATAGTAAATATTTTTTTATTGACCATGTCTAATATTATTTAATTTGTTTAACAGATTCTGTGTGTTATCCTTCTCGTCGTTCTGATCTCCTTTGTGAATGCTTGTGGAAACAATAGTTAGTTTCGATAAGTCATTTATTTAATGCTCTTTATCGTTTGTTAACTATTTTTCATTAATAAGGGCTTTACCATTAAAATTCAAGCATAATTCTGTGACTGAAGAAATTAATTTCTTAATATCAAATTTGAAACTACAAAATTATACTTTAAATTATGACATACAGTACATTCTTTGAAATTAAAATGGTATAATTGTTTAAAGTGAGCAAAACTACAACAGAAAAGGCCACTACAAATGATCTCCCAATTCCCACTCAGTCCAGCAATGAAGGGGAACAGAAAGAGCCAGAGGAGAATGATGAGAGGGACGAAGGGAAGTCAAAGGAGGAGAAGAGGGGTCATAAAAAATCTCAATAAACACATTTCTCTTTTTTAAGCTAGATTTAATTGAAAAGATATTGAAAATTTGACTAAAAACTTTCATAACAATGTTACGCTTCATAGCTTGTTTGATTTTATATCTGCTAAGAAAGTGCGTGTACCTTCATATATAACCATAATTTCTTTGTAAAAATAAATTATAATCATAATCAAAACAGTTGATATTGTTTGGGTATGTTAGATTTTAAAAAATGGTTTAATTAGAGCCAAATTTGTGCTTTAGAATAAAAGGGGAGTAATTTTCAATAATTATTTTGGTTTTTAAGAAATATTTGCATTGAAATAGGAATATGGTTGCCAATCTGAGGTCTGTTGAAAATACGAGGTCTCCACTAATTCTGTCTTCATACATTTCCTTAGTGCTAGATTTTATTTATATAACACTATCAAATCATGAAACTAATATCAAATATCCAGCGATTTTTGTTCTAATATAAATAATAAAGGTAGAAGATATTTGGATTTTACTAAATTTTAAAATTTGTTAATTATTTTATGTCTTGAGTGCTTTAATATCCACAGGGCCTTGTCATGGCAAACCTCTGCTTACTAAATATGAGTTAAGTTCGTTTAAATTTTAAATTTGGGAACAAAATCAGTTTTGATAGCAATGTTTGAATGATAAGCCACAATGCAATTACTCCATAATTCAGTAAGGTCATTGCATAAAAAATTTTTCAGAAACAATTGAGCAGAAAAATTTGCCCTAAGAGCAAAATAATTTACATCAATGCTTCTCTAAGTCAGGTATTAATTTAAATCATTTTTCTCTCATCACATTGAAGGTATATTTTTTAGCCATTCTCTAAATATCAACATGTTGAAATTGAGGAGGTTTAGCCAATTGAATAACATCACTCTGCGAAATGAGCATTTATTTCCATTGGATATTTGCGGAAATAAATATCCCAACTCCCCTTATCATTTTTTGCTACACAATCAACACTGAGCAAAATTCACGAAGACCGTCATCAACTCAGATTTGACTATGGCAAAACTGGTAATATAGCTGTTTTTAAGCAATTTCTATAAACATATCTTAAATTATTTCATTTGGTCAACAGATTCTGTGTGTTATCCTTCTCGCTGTCCTGATTTCCATTGTGAAGGCTTGTGGAAGCAATAGTTAGTTTTGAAGAGTCATTTATTTACTGCGCTACATTGTTTGCAAACTATTTTTTATTGATGAGATATTTTCTCTTACAATTCAAGCATGATGAAGCTTGATTCTTAATTTTAACTTCGAAAATATATTTTTTTTATTAAAGTCAAGATTCGTATTATTTTTTGCTATAGTGGACAAACCTTCAACTGAAGTGCCTACTACAGAAAGTCTTCCAATCGCTACTCAGGAGAGTGCTAAAGAGGAAACGAATAAGCCTGAAGAGAGTGAAGAGAAAGAGGAAGAGGAAGAGGAGGGGAAGAAGGAGCAAAATGGAGATGGAGAGACGCAAAAAAATCAGAGTTGAGTAAAGCATAGCTCTTAAAAGTTAATCACAATTGAAAAGACATTCAACATTTAATTGAAAATCTTTCATAATAATATTACTCTTCATTGTATGTTTGATTTCATAACTGGAAAGAAATTGTGTGTAACTACATATGTAACAATAATTGTATTATTAACAAATTAATTTCAAACAAAGTTGTTTTTAATATTTGGGTTGACTGATTTAAAATATGACACATTTAATGTCAATTAATATTTTCATAAAAAAGAAATAATGACTTAATTGTTTTAAGATAGAAATATATTTAAATTGAGAAAGGAAAGACAGTTTGAGGCTTATGCGAAATGATAAGAACTCGGGTTCAATCGATGCAGTCCTTATAAATTTTCTTTAAGCTCCTCTATTTAAAAAACAATTCCAATGAATGGAAATTGGAGTTATCAACTATGGCTTGCTTAACCCAGGCAAGTCCCTGCTTCTTAGTGAAGTCTGGATTTTGAGACTGTGTTAATCATCGGGTTGGTGACTGATATTTGCAGAATTACATTTAATTCAGGTCGCTGAAGTTGATTTAATTTAAAAATTCTCTATTTATAAAGCAAATATCCCTAATCTTAAGCATGCGGAAATTTAAGCACTTGACGCAAAACCCTTGTTTCGGGTACAGATATTTATTACTTCGTAAGCCCTCGTCATTTTTTCTTATTTACTAAACGTATTTTGATTGAACCGCTCTTATTGCTTTGTTGATATTTCCTGAAATTGCCGACAAAAACTATACAATTAACACCATAGAGTCGAAACCCTCCAATTTCTAAAATAATTTGAATCGTTCTGGCGTTAAAGCATACTGGTTGACCTACATGTTTGTCATTAATCACATATAATCATCTGGAGTCAAATATCCGCCATGTGCTACTATTTAAATTTGATCTGAACTTCTATTTAACATTCTTCATTTCATAATTTTAACTGAAAAACATCGTTTTGATGCTTCTCAAAATCCTGAATGTGATTGATTATTGTTAACGAATAATAAATAAATGAAACTGTGGTGTCTACGACTTTTGATATGAAATTGACACTCGATATCTTTTAGGATATGCCTTGGTAAGTTACAATCTAAATAATATTACTATGTGAATAGTGTACTGAATAGCATATCATCATCGAAAAAACAAATAACTGAGATATAACTTAAAATTTAAGGTTTAAATAGCAAAATATGATGGCATACAATTGCTAATGGTGAATCATTGCGTGACGAATATTGTAAATATTATAATATTTAAACGAATATTATGTTATTGTTCTTCCAAGGTCAATTTGGCGCCTTCATTTTATCACTGACAATCCTATTTCTGAATTGAGATGGAAGGGAAAATCACGTTTCATTGAAAAGACTAATTAAATTATTATTTTATGCAAATTTGCAACATGTCATTCAAATTTAGGCATTATAATTTGAGTCATTCTATTCGAAAAAACATTAGAGTACTTTGACACTTTGTAAACTTTTATCGAACGCTATTTAATGTCAAAAACATCACGTTACAAGGCAAATGTGACAAAATGCGAAGCATTTCTCTCAATCTACTTCTTGTCTCCAAAATTTGAAGGTTTTCATTTACGCTGGCTAAATTCAGTGGAGTTAGAATAACATTCCAAAGTTCGTTTAAGGCCTTTATACCAATTGAATTTCTTTATAATTGAAACTTAGTGTCTCTTATTTCGAACAGTAGATAATTCCACCATTGGCTTCTGTTTGAGGAAATTTGTTAAAACCAATTAAGTGATTTCAATTTGCACCAGAGGATTCACTTTGAGTTTAATCGGTCTGGATGCCACTTTCGTCAAGATCTTTTTAAAACAAAAATACTTCCAATGTGTCCTTGAATTACGTCATAAAATATGCTACCGTTTTCAAGTTCATTTGAACAATTAGACTAAAAAATTAAAATACTATTTAAAACTCTTTCATTTGAAAATCAAAGAGTCACAGCAGAAAATTAACATGGCCATGGTAGAAACATTCGAAAGCGGATAGCAAGAAAATCATTTAGAAAATTGTTTGAAATAGAACACCACCGCCAACCTGCTGATTTAGCAACGAAACTTCCTATGTTATAAAAATCAACGCGAAATTGAATAACATGGAGTAGTAGGACCATTACAAACTAGATACAACAACTGAAAGGGATTTTATTCTTGGCGATATGTGTGATAGGAAAACGGCAACATGTTTAGCCTTATATGTTCTCACATTGCAAATATGTAAAATTAAAAAAAATCAAAGTAAAAAATGTTTTCAAGCAGGAGACAATACCTTGCTCTGTTTTAAATATTAATATTTACTAAAATTTAAATTTATATTGTAACTTGACTGTTTTACTTATCTAAAATCAGTAACATCAATTGCCGATTTTAAATATTAGCATAACTGTACTAAATTTTTACTGTATCTGCTTACTTCTATAATCGTTACTTTCAATTCGAAAAGAAATGCAGCACGTTTAGTCGACTTTGAAAGTTGTAACGGTAGATTATTCAATGAGAAATAGAATTTTATGAATTTAAATTTCCAGGGAAGGTGATTTATGAAGTAAAACTAAGCTCAAGACGAATTTATTGACTGTCGTTTTGATTAAACTTCCAGGCCTGTCGAATCGTCTTCAACGAAATTTAAATTTGTTCGGCGAATAAGTAAAATGTATACTTATATAAATAAGGAAAGCATGTATTATCTATTCCATTCGATTTAATAGTTAATTAATTTTTTACCGCCTAAAATTTAGTTCATATTTTGATTGACTATCCATTGAAAAATCTTATGTGGTTCCTAATAGCAGATGCACAAAATTCCTGCTAGCAGATCATAATTTATTTTATTTTTGGGACGCGTCAACCTTGTCCTCTATCTATGGGAAATTGATAATCGATTGCTTTCCAACATTGTTAATGAAAATGAGTACAAAATATTTTAGCTTATACAATACGAATACATTATACAATCAGACTTTACAGCAGCTAATTTGTAAGGTGAATGGCTAGGACCAACTCTGTTTCATCATTTTACTACTTACTTATTAAAATTTTGCTGTAATTTGGTCTCACACTTGGACTCCTTCTAATTCAGATATATTTTGAAATTTGATTGATTTTGAGTACGAATCGTCACATTTTGTTTTAACATCTCGCCACATACTATCAAAAGGGTTGCATCGATATCTAATACAAACGGCGATGTCATTTAACAAATTACATATAAAATTAAATGCAAATGACATGACTGAATTCAATTACAAATAATTTTTGGTCAACCTCCAATAAGAGATTTACAAATTTTTGTTCATTGCACTTAATAAATGTGACTTATTGTTAAAGGATACAAATTATTCCATTCCAATAATTTTACCACAGTTATCCAACTTTTAAAAAATATACCATAAGCTGCTTTTTTCACAACAAATGTAAATTTTTATGTTTTTATGAAACCGCAATGAGAAAATTGCTTGCTTAAAAAATTTTAAAACATTTAACGCAAAAACCCAGAGCTTCAATAAATATTCAACTGTTTTACCAAAACGAGAACAAAATGATTTTGAAATTATTCCAACGTTTCAGAGTAGTTTTGATTTATAGTATTGTAATTTTTTAGTTAATGAAAGCCAGCCATAGAAGGTTAATTGGGTTTATTAAATTCAAAATTAAAAAATAAAGCAATTATGAAGTGAGCGATTAAACAAGCTAATGAAATAGACATCTTACAGTGTAGTAGAAATATAATAATAAAAAATATTAAGTAAAAAATGTAATAAATTTAAAAATTTTAAAAATGTTATAAATTAGTAAAATATGCTGGGACGGCTGTTTGGAAAGCATCTGCACTTTCTCACGCAATCAGTCACTGACTCTGTCGAGATTGTTAGTTTTAGCATTGGTATCGTTAAAGTTTCCACTCTAATTACTTTTTTCACAAAATGAAAAATATACCGTTGATCAAATCAAAGTTTACTCTTCTTTTACTGCTCAGAATGAAATAATTAATACTTCATTTTTATCAAAATATCAAAAAACGAGAATGTTTTAATCCATGCGCCGTAGAGGACATATAACTGAAGTAAGTGTATTTTTATTTAAAAATCCAAAATAGATCAGAGTAATTGAATGTGCCTTGCATTTTGGCTAATTATTTATTTGCAAGTTCAACATTTCCTTCATTTTAATTCTTCTCTGAATCAAGACAATTCATGCAACTGTTCATAAATATTAAATTATAAAGGCCTAAAGCTTCATGATTTATTATTTAGTGGAACTAAAATAAAGAACTATTTCTATCAAAGAATTATTCAAGAACATTTTTTCCCTTCGTTAAGGTAACAAATTTATTTATCCGAGATTGATTTATTACTGTCCATATTGAATGGTATAATAAACAAACAATTGATATAAATGCATGGAAACTTGGCTATTAGGATAAAAAGTAACTCTTTTAAAAATTAAATTTTGTATTAAATATTTTGTCCATGATATTCATTAACAATTCTACTTTGGTAAAATAAAGATAAATATAATTTGCAAATAATAGTTGACACATTAATTTTCCGTCAGGATCTGTTTAAATACATCAAAATAGAGAAAGCAGTTAGCCTGAGAAATGATAATTTTTCGTTTTTCATTCTCAAAACTTTTTTAAATTATTTCAAGATAATTATTAATATTTTTAAATGAGCAACGGCATGATTGGTTTGATTTCATAATTATACTTATATCAATTCACAATTCAGACAAAAGGACCTTTTTAATATTTTTTTATTTGTTCGGAATCAAAGCTATCCCTATTGGCATTTGTAATTTTATAATTTGTGACAGGTGTTTTATGAAATTGCTGAAACAGGTCAAATTAAAAAAAAACAATTCAAAACTAATCTATATCCTATATTTTTAATAATTTACTAAAAGATCCAGCAAATGATCAATCATTTTTTTCCTGAGCAATTGCTACTGAGAGATTTAAA